CCTCAAGCTGACATCTCTGCTCTTCAATACTTTAAAAAGTTCCTGTGCAGCAGATTTGCCCAGTGCAATACGTCGTCTGATCTCTTGACTGCTGTATGTTATTGATTGTGTAAAAACACTTGACGGTGTGGATCATAACAAACTGGCTAATATTATGAAGAAAGAGAAGTCCAGAACACTTAACTGTGTTCTTGAGATATCTGTAACAGACCAAGAGGCAGTTGTTAGAGCAAGGGGATATTGATTGGTTTAAAACTACGAGAGGTGTGCATTACATTAAGAATTTAAGGTTTTGGTTATACGTAGCAAGTTTAAATATATCATATATATAATTGTTGGTCTTGTTGTTGTTAAGTGTTGTGGAGTTGGTTCCAACTCATAGCGAGCCTATATAGGGTTTCCAAGGGGTCCTGGTGTGGCTCTGTGGGTTAATGCACTGGACTGAAAGGTTGGTTTGAACCACAAGGTTGGTGGTTCAAACTCACCAGCCATTCCTCGAAAACTCTATGCAGAGTCGCTATGAGTCTGAATCAACTCAACAGCACTTAACAAAAGCAATTGTATATTGACAGAGAACTTCCAGAGGTTCAAGTCAGATTCAGATGAGAATGTGGAACAAGAGATATCATTGCTGATGTTAGATGGATCTTAGCTGAAAGCAGAGATTATCAAGAAGATGTTTACTTGTGCTTTATTGACTACACAAAGCCTTTCAATTGTTTGAATCTTGGTAAGCTTGGACAACATTGTGGCAAATGAGTATTCCAGAACACTTAATCATGCTCAGGAGGAACCTGTACATAGACCAAGAGGCAGTTGTTCAAACAGAACAAGGGAACATTGAATTTTTTAAATTAGGAATGGTGTGTGCCAGGGTTGTATTCTTTCACCATACTTATTCAATCTGTATGCTGAGCAAATAATTCAAGAAGCTGAATGATATGAAGGAAAACATGGCATCAGGACTGGAAGAAGACTCATTAACAACCTATGATATGCAGATAATACAATCTTACTTGCTGAAAGTGAAGAGGACTTAGAATACTTACTGATGAAAATCAAAGACCACAAGCTTTTTGTATGGGTTGCAACTCAATGTAAAGAAAACAAAAATCCTCACCACTGGACCCATAAACAACATCCATATAAATTGAGAAAAGATTGAAGTTGTCAAAGACGTAATTTCACTCAGAATAACCATCAACACTCATGGAAGCAGCAGCGTAGAAAACAAATGGTGTATTATGTTAGGCAAATCTGCTGCCCAAGACCTCTTTAAAGTATTTAAGAGCAAAGATATAAATTTGAGGACCAAAGTGTGCTTGACCTAAGCCATGACAGTTTCCATAACCTCATAAGCATGTGAAAGTTGGATAATGAATAAGGAAGACTATAAGAAGAACTGATGCATTTGGGTTATGGTGTTCGAGAATATTAAAAGGAGTCCTAGTGTCGTGCTGTAGGACTACAAAGTTAGTTTGAACCACAAGATCGGCAGTTCAAGCTCACTAGCTGCTCCTCGGAAACCCTATACAGGACCGCTCTTAGTCAGAACCAACTCGATGGCACTTAATAAAAACAATAAACTGCCAAAAGAACAAACAGATCTGTGTTGGAAGAAGGACAGCCAGAACGCTACTTGGAAGCCAGGATGGCCAGACTTCGCCTCTCATACTTAAGACATATTATCAGGAAGGACCAGTGCCTGGGGAAGCATGTTTGGTAACATAGCGGGTCAGAGAAAAAGAGGAAGACCCCCAGTGAGATGGATTGGCACAGTGGCAGCAGCAATGGGCTCAAATGTAGTAACAATTGTGAGGTTGGCACAGGACCGGGCAGGGTTTTGTTCTGTTGTGCATAGGGTCGTTATGAATAGGTACCGACTTGATGACACCTAACAATAATGACAACAGCAAGGCTTTAAATCTTTGTGGGACTAGAAAGTGTCATTTTTCTCCCAAGGAGCTGCTACTGGATTTGAACCACAGACCTTGTGTGCTTATTCTATGGTGACTCCACACTTTTCATGTATATAAATTGTTGTTATTAAGTGCCGTCAAGTAGGCTTCAACTCATTGTGACTCTGTATAGGGTTTCTTAGAAGTGGTGGATGGATTTGAACTACTGACTTTTCAGTTAGCAGTCCAGTGCTTATCCTACACTAATATATATATGTGTGTGTATAATAGGTTTATACATACTATTTTAATGACATAATTATTTTATAATTAATGTTTAAAAATAGAAATGGGAGACTTAATAAGTCGATAGACTATGAGATGATTTTTTTTTTTTTTTTTCACTTGTGAACATGTTCTACTTATCTTATTATTTTTTTTTTTTACACAGCACCAGTTATTTATAATTTGAAGTTCCGGAGCACATTCATTCATGAGGAGTACTGTTCAAAAAGCAAAAGAATCCCAGAGCTAAAACACAGTGGGATCTTTTAAAACGTCCTTCCAAATTTAGTGCTTTCTAAATGTGAAGCTAGGTTTCTCTGTAGAAACCTCTTGCCTCTTTCAATAGCAACCCTGGGGTAGCAAAGAAATCCAATATTTTCTCTATCTAGTGTTGAGTTAGAATTAAAAGTGTGGAATCTGTTTATATGCTCAGAATATATTTCAGTTCACTCAATGAAGCTAATATGATATTTTTTAAGCAGAGTAAGTTTCAGAAATTGTTGGCAAAATATCCATAAATCTAAATAATGAATTTACCGATTTTATTCTGAAACAAAAATATGAAGACATTACATGTTCACATATCTGCATGAGCCTAATGTTTGCTATCTTATAACCATTCCCCCTTTTCTAGTCTTTTATAGAAAATAGCAAATTCTTTGAGCAATATGAAGTGACATACGAGATCTTGAAACAGACAGCCGAGATGTACGTCAAAGCAGATGGTTCAGGTAAAATACGAGAGCGACTTTGGTGCAGTATTGCATTCAGTGAAATTTAGAACTTCACAGTTTTCTGTATGATCAGATTATGTTTATTCTCTGCAGAATCCTGGTGTGACGATGTCAAATTTTGGCATACACAGATTGAACTCAGTCCCCTTCATTGCCCTTTTGGCCTGTGGTTTCTGCCCAGTGTTAACCTGCTGTTCCTCTGTGTGTGTGTGTGTGTGTGTGTGTGTGTGTCTCCTCCTAAAAGAGCAAAACAAGCATCCATTTTATAAATTGCAATTTTCCAACCTGTTTTCAATTCTAAGGATTAAAGGCAAAAAATTAAATATATTGAATATAGTAATCAATTCACTGAGCTTAATAATAGTTATTAAAAAGTTGCCAGCTTATGAATTCTGACTCATAGTGACTCTGTGTGTACTAGAGTAGAACTGTGTTCCTGAGGCCTGTCAATGGCCAATTTTTTCAGAAATAGATTGCCAGACCTTTCTTCTGAGGTATCCCTGGATGGACTTGAACCTCGAATCTTTCAGTTGGCAGCCAAGTGCATTGACGTTATATACCACCCATTAAATTAATATAAACTCTGGTAGCTTAGTGGTTACGAATCAAGCTGCTAACCTGAAGGTCGGCAGTTCGAAACTACTAGCTGTTCCGTGGGAGAAAGATGAGGCTTTCTGCTCCAATAAAGATTTACAGCCTCGGAAACCCTGTGCTGGGTTGTTATGCGTCGGAACCAACTCCATGGTAGTAACAACAACAACAAATGTTGTAAAGGAGTCCTGGTGTGGTGCTGTGATTTATTTAATGCTCTGCAAGATCAGTTTGAACTGCAAGATTGGGGGATTCAAACTTGCCACCCATACCTTGGAAACCCTATAGTGGGTCACTGTGAGTCAAAACTGACTTGATTGTACTTAACAACAACAGCAAACATTGTAAAAGATTTTAGTTTTCAGTTTAGCGTGGTGTGTTTGTTGAATAATGAAATGTATGCCTCCATCTGTTTTATTATAAGTATATAAATATATATATAATGCAAACAGATACACATTTGCCTTTTTTTCATTCCATTTATCAGGGGTTTAAAATATTTTTCTCATCTTTAGGCTTTGAATAGGGTATTGCTATTTCCAGCTTCCACTGAGTGAGAGTCTAACATTGTCACCTTTATAAGCTAAGGAAAGGCATGAAATCACATTAGGGTATAAGACCGCAGTGGAAAAGATATGCTGGATTTAGAGTACACAAAAAAGGTGTTTACTGTGTTTTACCTGTTCCAGTGGAGGAAGCTGAAAACGTGATGAAATTCATGAATGAAACCACAGCTCAGTGGAGGAATTTATCTGTAGAAGTGAGAAGTGTACGGAGCATGTTGGAGGAAGTGATTTCTAACTGGGATCGGTATAGCAATACCGTGGCTAGTCTTCAAGCTTGGCTGGAGGATGCTGAAAAAATGCTAAGTCAAACAGAGCATGCCAAAAAGGTAAAATTGTTTTACACCAAGGAAAAGACTTCATGTGAATTTAGAATGGAGAGATATTTACAGCAGGATTTACGCAGGTGTCTTATAGATTTATTTCCCAGTATGACTCAAGAATGCTGACTTGGCCTGTCAAGTTGTGTTTTCCCATCAGTGAATTATTTTAAACCCATAAATACCCTGCTTCAGAAAAGTTCTGCAAAAAAAGTTCCGTTTGTTGGGTTCAGTGCATGATTTTTGTATTCGGAAGAGGGCTCTGGGCTCACAGTGCGGTCTGTATAGGACCATGAGTGGAGCATCCAAAAACTTAACCCCAGTGCTATCTGTTTCATTCCCACCCACAGCGATCCTGTTTACGGTTTTGAGACTGTAAATCTGTACCCAACAGACAGCCTCAGCTTTCTCCCGGTGGATTGACTGCTGGGTTTGAATTGCTGACCTTGTGGTTAACAGTCCAGTGCTTACCGACAGCACCCCAAGGGGTCCTCTGTAAGAACCAGCCACTAGGAATTCCCTAATGTTTCAAGAGAAAGAAAGCAACTTTAATCCTTAAAGCAGCTAAACTGGCATTTTCTTCTCTTTGAATATTCTTTCTTTTTTCAATTTTACAAACCCTGTGTCATGGATCTTATGAGGGTTATGCACACACAGATATCTATGTGTGTGCGTGCATATGCATGGGAGGGGTTGGAGAGCTACTGTATTACTTGAATTCTAATGTATGCACTATTTTTTCTAAGGGGAGACTGCTATCTTAGTATCTTGTTGCTATTGTTATAAAGTGCCCTTATTCCACTTTCCTGTAAATATCAGTTAAATGGAGTAATTTCTGCACATTGTTGTTAAGTGCCATTGAGTTGCTTCTGACCCATAGTGTCCTGTATAGGGTTTCCAAGGAGTGATTGGTGAGCTTGAACTGCTGACTTTTGCAGTCTAGTGCATTCATCCACAGTGTCACACCTGCATACTTCCTTATATTTGTGGAGTCCTGGTGTGGTGCTGTTGGATAAAGCACTGAGCCACAAGTTCAATTTGATCCAAACTCCTTGGAAACCCTATGCAGAGTCATTATGAGTCAGAACCGACTTGATGGCATTTAATAACAGCAACAACAAATTCATATTTGTACAATTATTTTTTGTACTGTAAGATAAGCACTGGACTATAAGATAGTGTAAGATAACCACAAGGTTAAAGGTTGAAATCCACAAGTCCTGCTCAAAAGCCTTATACAGGGTGGCTATGAATCAGAACCAACTTGATAGCACTTAACAAACAGTAACAAGGTATTGGTAAGAAGTCCTAATGGCGCTGTAGGGTAAGCAATGGACTGCTAACCACAGGGACAGCAGTTCAAAACCACCAGCCACTCCTCAGGAGAAAGAAGAGGCTTTCTGCTTCCTTTATGATTTGCTGTCTTAAAAACCCTGTACGGGGTCGCTATGAGTCAGAACCAACTCGATGACAGCAGGTCACTTCGTAGCCAATAGAAATCTCAAAGCAATCATTGAAAAAATATGATTAAAAATGCTTCCAGTCTTTGTGAATCATGGGGAGAGTAATAAATAGTTCTGGGTCATACCGAATAGGAATAAATCAATAAATCTTAGTTGTCTCAGTGGTTTGTTCGTGACTAGATTTAGAATGTTGATTGTGGTGGAGAGGTTGCTAGATGATGTACCATAGCATTCAGCATTTCTGAGTTTTAGTTGAACTGTGTTATTCTGTGTGCCTGAGGATCCAATGCTTCTAAACACAACAAGAACAGGAATTGCAGCATGTCCGTGACTAAGCTGTGAACATTCCCAGATGACAAGTAAATTAATACGTAGTAGATACTAAGATGGAGTCCTGGTGTGATGCTGATAGCCCACACTAGATAGACCACAAGGTGGGTTTGAACCACAAAGTTGTAGTTCAAACCCACCAGCTACTCCTTGGAAACCCTATACAGGATGGCTATGAGTCAGAACCGACTCAATGGCACTTAACAACAATAGCAACAAGATACTAAGCTGTCAGTCTCCCCGTACAAAGAACAGTGCATACGTTAGAATTCATACATTAGAATGCCTGCCTGTGTCTAAATCCTGATGTGGCACTATATGCTAAGCACTGGACTGCTATTTGAAAGGTTAGTGATTCAAATCCACCAGCCGATCCTTGGAAACCCTACACAGGGTTGCTATGAGTTGGAACCGACTCAATGGCACTTAACAATAACAACGTAGATTTATAATTTATTATTGCTTACCGTTCTGTGTTTCCTATAGATTAAATGTCTGTGCCTAGATGAGAATGGCAATAGTTTTCTATCCATTCAGATTTTGCTTTTGCCTTGGTGGATACTGTATGCATTCACTTGATTCCAGGGAATACAGTCACCAGAACTAGAAGGAGCAACTCCCACGTGGCTTATGAAAAACATTTTGAGTTGTCTTTGGTTTTTACTTTGGTGACTGCCCGTAGGTGGAATTGTGGTGTGGCACTGTGGGAAAAGCACTAGACCGCAAGGTCGATTTGAATCTCAAGGTCGGTGGTTCAAACTCACCAGTTGCTCTGCTCCTCAGAACCCCTCTACAGGGTTGCTATGAGTTAGAAATGACTCAATGGCACTGGACAACAACATGTATGTATGTCCATGTGCACCCATTCATTTAGCATGGATTGAGCTGAAAATGGTGTCACTGCCAAGTGTGGTACTTGACACATGTAAGAAAGGATGTTATTGTGCAAGGGGGCTTCAGAAAGTTTGTGGGAGAAATAGAATTAAAAAGATAATGGGATTTTTCCACAAACTTTTTAGAAACCTTTTTACCATATTTACTGTTGACCTAGATATTGAATTCAAAACAATGATTCCTTTGATAGTTTATCTCAATCATTGAAAAATACCTTGATATACTATATTCAAATTAAAAAACCCAAAGTAACAGACATGTATTTTCTGAAAATATTGTGGGACTTTTTTGTGTGTGTGTGACCTTGACACTGGTATTTATTAGTTTGTAGATGATGACTTAACTGAAACTTAGCTTTTTCATTAGTCATAAAATGAGAATATCAGAAAATGGTCAAAAATCATTTTGTTTAGTCTTCAACAAAGAGTATGACCCATATTCTTTTAGAGCAGCAGGAGGAGGGGAGTCAGGAGTAGGAAGGGCATATGGAAGGGGTGGCTAGTGCCCCCATGAACATCTTCCTTTGCCAGGAGACGAGAAGAACTGGTTGGTGCCTGCTAGCATTACAGAACTTGTGTTCAACGAGTCTATAAAAGAATTCTGATCGAAAGGGGAAAAATGTGGAACAGAATGTCAAATCCTCTTGGTTGCAGACCTATGGGTGCCAAGAGGACTGGATGGACTCCAGAAACTATTGCCCTGAAATAATTTTTTAAATCCTAAAACAAAAATATCTTCTGAAACCTTCTTAATCCAAACAATAGATAAACCAGTAAAAAATGTCTGCTTTGAGCATTCTGATCTTTTAAGAGCAAAGTGACAAGAGCCACTTTGGGGACCATGAGCTTATGGTGATGGGGGACCAACAACTCAACAAAGGAGGGTGAGCATAGTAGCCCAACTTAGAAATGTAGTTAGTGTCACTGAAAGAACCTGGAGAAATGGTTGAATTGGTGTGTATCATACTACCTACGTATATTCTCAACAGCAACAATCTAAAACTAAAAAGGAGGTTGTCTTGCATTCTAAAATGACGCTTACCATTTCAAGTTCATAGATTTGAACCTCTTTATTAAGAAGTTGTATTGGAGAGTTCTTTTAATATTTTCCTTAAAATGTACACAAGTTTGAGAACAAAGATATTTTTCCCGAGTCCGTTCATGTCCAGATCAGCAATTTTTGGTTTATGGTTTCCAATATCGTGCTCTCTTTACTGTTTAGGATTTTTTTCGCAATTTGCCTCACTGGATTCAGCAACACACCATTATGAACGATGCTGGCAATTTCCTCATCGAAACCTGTGACGAAATAGTTTCCCAGGATCTTAAGCAGCAATTACTGTTACTGAATGGGCGGTGGAGGGATTTATTTATGGAAGTCAAGCAAGTATGTCTTCCGGATCTATATATTCCTACAGCGTGTGTGTTTTATATCTGTTGTGATAAACACTGCTCAGAGACTGTAATAGTCTTACCGAATTCTTATCGAATTAGTGCGGAGTATAGGTATGTTTAGAACTGATAACATTTGTATGTGGTAATTCGTACTTTTCCAATGTTAATGAAGGAACATTACAGAATTTATCATTTGATTCAGAATTATGTTGCCATATGGGATCTACTTATAGGGAATGCTTCAGGCTTCACATCAGAAGTGAGTTCTTCAGTTTATGCTAATTCCTTTTGTATGTCACAGTAATTTAACTTAATTGAAATGTATTTAAAATAAGAAGCAAGAGTTGGCGTCTTTTTTGACCATATCACAATTGCAGAAAGCATGGAGAAATGAAGGGTATACAAGTCTCAAATCTCTGCTTAATGATTTCTCAGCATGTGACCCCTACCCTTGCTTTCACAGTATGCTCGAGCTGACGAAATGGACAGAATGAAGAAAGAATATGCAGATTGCGTTCAGACCCTGTCTGCTTTTGCAACCCAGGCCCAGAGGAAGCTCTCTGAACCCTTAGACGTCTCCTTTATTAATGTCAAGTTATTAATTCAAGACTTGGAGGTGAGGGGAATTCTGGACCATAAGAGATTGATTCTGCTGTGAAGATAAACAATCAGAGGGGTTATTCAGATGACCACAGGCATTATTTTTAGGTCCTACATATCCTGATTTATACATCACATAAAAACTAGAGTTGAATTTTATAAAGTTATGTTTCAGCCTGATCTAATCATTTCAAATGAGTTTCTATTCAGAGAGTTTCTAAAACCCAGTTATTAAGCAACAAGAGAACACAGGAGACTCTATAGACAATATATCTAACAATGAGGAATTTGTTTAAAGGCTTTCAACGACAAAAGTTCCATGAGATGAGTTGTAATAGTTCCATATTTTGAATATTCTGCAGCTCTCAAAGATAAAGTCGTAAAAGAATATTTAATGACATGGAAAGATTTTGTTAAGCTATAAAAGCCATCAACATTAAAAATTTTAAATGGCCGTAGACACACAAGGATCCAAGACTCTTGATGTAAGGATAAGATATAGACTCTGCTTGTCATTGTGTGAAAAGACCATGTTGTTGTTGTTAAGTACCATCCAGTTGCTTCTGACTCATAGTGACCCTGTATAGGGTTTCCGAGGAGCAACTGGAGAGTTTGAACCATGGACCTTATGGTTAGCAGTCCTAGGCTTATCCTGCAGTACCACACCAGGACTATAGGAAAATTAAATTTTCCTTATGGTATTTTGGAAGTTTGAAGATTATTCAGTAATGTTTATGGTAAGTTAAGGATTTAGGATCACTTTTAAAGAAAAGTTTCTATTTATTTATTTGTTTAATAGATTAATAATGAAGGAAAAGGAGCCCTGGTGGTACAAGTGGTTTAAGTGCTGGGTTCCTAACCTGAAGGTTGGTGGTTTGAACCCACTAGCTGCTCTGCGGGCAGTTGACCTCTGTAAAAATTTACAGCCTTAGAAACCCTTTGAATAGTTGGGCTCTGTCTTGGATTGCTATGAGTTGCAATTATCTCCATGGCAATGGGTTTGAATGGTTTGTGGGCGGCAAACAATTATGCACTCAGCTACTAACCATATGGTTGGTGGTTTGAATCTCCCCAGAAAGGGCTGGCGATCTGCTTCCAAAAGCCTTGAAAACTCTATGGAGCAATTCTACTCTTCACACATGAGGTCGCTATGAGTCTAAACCGACTCCACAGCAACTGGTACCTGGTACAGGAGGAAAGCAATAAGTGTAATCTCCAAATGCACATAGCATCTTCTATGATCGCTGTTGGTCCTTGTTCTGTCTTCTGAGCACAATCCAAAGGCCATGCTCCATGTTGTTAATAGGCTGATTCAATGCTTCTTCCTGCAGGATATTGAACAGAGGGTACCGGTGATGGATGCACAGTACAAGATGATTACAAAGACAGCCCACCTCATCACAAAAGAAAGTCCCCAAGAAGAAGCTAAAGAAATGTTTCTGACCATGTCTGGGCTCAAGGAGCAGCTAGCCAAGGTTGGGAAATGTCAAATGCACCGCACATTGAGACACCAGCAGGGCCTTCACAGACTTCCCTCCTCTCCTCCTTTCCTCCCACGGGCAGAGACAGCTGGTCTGCTTACTAACAAACCGTGCTTTTGCCTCTTTTTATGTTTCTTGAATTAGGAAGTTTTGATATCAATTTTACAAAGAAAGCGATGAAGCTGATATACCAAATATTACCTCTGTTACTTTAGAAGTGCTAGTAGCTATATTTTAAGGAGCTTTGGTAGCGTAGTGGTTATGAATTGGGCTGCTACCCTTAGGGTCAGCAGTTCGAAACTAGCAGCTGTTCCATGGGAGAACAATGACGTTTTCTGCTCCCGTAAAGATTTACAGCCTCGGGAACCCTATATAGGGTCGCTATGACTCGGAACCGGCTCCACGGCACATAACCACCACCAACACCAGTAACTATATTTTAATAGAAAGGTAGACCTTTTTTGGAGGAAAAAACCAGCAACACTTGGTAAGTCAGTGCTGTAAATAAATACACAGAATGAGAGGCAGAGAGAGAGAAGCAAGAGTTCATGTATTTGAATGAAAACGAATCCCCATTGAGTGTTCCTGAAATACCTCCATCTAAGCTCCTTTATTTGCTGGTATAACCACAAAGCAGTAGAAACTCTGCCTGTTATCTCACTGGTCTCGCCTTGTTGCTGTGTGCCCTCGAGCTGGTTCCAACTCATAATATCTCTGCATAAAGTTTTGAGAAACAGTTGATGAGTTTGAGCCACCGACCTTGCAGTTCAAACCAACCTTGTGGTCCAGTACTCATCCTTCAGCACCACACCATAATCTCACCTTAGACTTAGGATAGTTTATTTTATTGATGAGACTTTTGTATGGAGACAGAGACAGAATCTTAGATGGTCTTTCAGGGTTATTAATCTAAAGTTGAATTTTAGGAAGATAATATTGTTTGTGATGTCTATTTTGATAGGATAGTTAATTTCTGGCACAATAAATAAATAGAAACATTTTGTAATGAAGACTTGGAAAACAAAAGAAAGAGGACTTAGAAAACAAAAAATACCTGTTGACTAGGAGAGAAAAGTTGTTGTTGTTAACTGTCTTTGAGTCTCTTCTGACTAATAGTGACCTTGTATAGAGTTTCAGAAGGCGCTCTGGTAGCGTAGTGGTTACAAATCGGACTGCTAATCTCACGGTTAGCAGTTCAAAACTACCAGCTGTTCCGCGTGAGAAAGGTGAGACTTTCTGCTCCCGTAAAGATTTACAGCCCCGGAAACCCTGTACAGGGTCGCTATGAATCAGAACTGACTTCATGGTACATAACAACAACAACAACATAGAATTTCAGAGGAGTGGCTGGTGAATTTGAACTGCTGACCTTGCTGTTCAAACTGACCTAGTGGTCCAGTGCATTATCCCACAGCACCACACCAGGACTCCAGGAAAGGAAAGTAGAGGCCAGGATTTCATGTCCTACATGAGATCAATGTAGCTGTTATTGTTAAGTGCTGTAGAGTCGGTTCTGACTCAAAGAGACTCTGTATAGAGTTTCCGAGGAGCGGCTGGTGAGTTTGAACTACCAATCTTGTAGTTCAAACTGACCTTATGGTTGAGTGTGTCTCCTGCAGTGCCATATATGAGCTGAATCATGGATAATTAATGGAAAAGCAGAGGAATTGAGAGGAAGTGACAGTTGGGAGAAGCATGGTTCATGAATAAGAAAAGAACCCCCTGTCTGTCCAACTGCTGCAGATTTAAGAGTGGATTTTGTTTTAATGTTTTATCGTGAAGTATGTGATAGTTTACATGGGAGAACATTAGCTTTACATTCATCCTATCATATAATCATTTCATTGCCATGGTTACAATCCCCTCCATGCATCATCAACCAACCAAAGGGTATACCCTGCAAGCCTGCTCCCCCCCTTCCCCCCCCCACCCCCGGTCGTCAGCACAGCCCCTCTCCCTCTCTCTCTCTGAGTCTAAAGTAACCAGCTGTTCCATCTCTCCATGTCATCTTCTGTCTCCATCTCAGGCATCACTGCTTCTCTTGGTAGGGTCCCGCTCTCCGCTCTTCTCCCTTGATGGTCCCAGGGACCTCCTCTCCTAGACTTCAAAGTCAATCACTCCCCTCCTCTTGCTACAAAATGTATACCTTTACATTTTCATCCCTCACAATCAGTCCTGATAACAATTATTCACTATTGTATCACAAGAGACCTATCCGCATCTCCTTTCATCAGCCCCACCCAGACAGATTGGATACTACTCGGTGGATATTCTACCTTCCTCCATGCCCTCTGGATCTAGGTTCCCTCTTGAAAGCTTGTAAGCCAGTCACTTCTTGCCTTTGTAGTCCCCCCATTTTGGATAGCCAATGTCCAAGTTGCCAATCCCTGTCTACTCTGTGTGTGGAGGGGGTGGGAATGATCCTTGCTGTAAAGACTTGTTCCCTCTTTTGAGCTACTGCATCCATAGATGTAGGTCAAGTTCATCAAGTTGTATCAGATTACTCTTTTTTTCCTCTTCTTTCTTCTTCTAGTTGAGCTCTGGTCATCCAGTCATTGAAGCCAGGTCAAGTGGGTATTATCTGCAAGTGTGGGTGTTCTTGTGCATATGCCCTCTCTTATCAGGTGGATGCTTCACTCTCCACTCTAGTCCTCTGTGGCTATGTCACTGACTCTGAGCCCAGGAGTCCCCAGGTCTTGCCACATTGAGTGTGGATTTTTAACACATTTTATTTTTAACGTTGAAATGAGAGTTATTTATAATTTGAAGGTGATGAGAAATAATGATAATATCTGTTGCCAGCAAACTTTACTAAACAATAGGTACAGATTTAAGTCAACATTTTCAGTTTGATAAGCTTCAAGCAGCTCTCAGGAGTTTTAGCTGGACTTGTATATAGCCTGGGACAGGTTAAGAGACCCAGACAGTCCAGAAGGAAGCTAAATTGTGTCTAAATACACAATTTAAGTCATTAAATGCTTTTACTGCTGTTTCAGATGCAGCAGCATGGTACATTTTTGTTGCGCACAGGAACATTTTATAAAGCACAGATTTTTTACTATTAAAAGCTTCTCTTGGTTTTTGCTCAGGGTACTTTTAGCAAAATCTTGTTACAGAAGGACTAAAACTTTCTTTTGTTAAGTTTATCTTTCAGACAGTATATGCTAGAACAGGTATGGGTTTCTAATGTACCATGCTGTGTTTAACAATGTGGGAAAATGTTACCCCCACTTTCTTCAAGGATGACTTTTATAATATCACTGGTAACGTGAGTGCATGCCTGTCTATAATTTAAGGTTGGGAAGTATTAGTGTACTAGCCAGTATGACTTAATTTCCATTCCTTGGTTTTGTGAAAGTATGAATACTTTAGAAGCCATCTTAAGTGAAATGAGAAGAAATGGAAAGTTCTTGTGGAAATGTCTGCTCTTGGATTCAAATGTAAATTATGATGAGACAGGCACTTTATGGAGCTCTTGAGCTATAGGAGTTTAGAGTTTCATCCTAAAGATAAGGCAGATGGTTCTGATTTAGTGTATTTGGGCTGAAATGCAAATTCTTAGCAGTGGATAGGGCTTGGTTGAATGGGTTCATACCCTGGTCTGGTAAAAGTAAGCCGATAAGTTTGTACAGCTTATCTGGACTCAGTATTTTAAGTAGGACATTTCTTGAATATAAAAACTGGACTGGCCTAAATAATGAATGACCTTAGTTCAGGAGTCCTGGGTGTGGCGCTGTAAGCTAAGCACTGTACTGCTAACCTAAGTAAAGATCAGTGGTTCAAATCCACAAGCTGCTCCTTGGAAACTCTATATAGAGTCATTGTGGTTCAGAACCAACTCGACAGCATACAATAACAACAATTCTCATTCAGAGATCCAGACCACAGGAAAGATGAGATGCCGTTTATTGGTGGAATTTGATGCCTTCTGGCTCATACACTACACTCACTGAGATAGGAGAGTGATACGCAGATGGACTGATGTTGTTGTTGTTAGGTGCCATCGAGTTGGTACCAGCTCATAATAATGCTTTGCACAACAGAAAGAAACACTGCCCAGTCCTGAGCAACCTCACAATCATTGCCATGCCTGAGCCCACTGCTGCTGCCACTGTGTCAGTCCATCTCACTGGGGGTCTTCCTTTTTTTCTCTGATCCTTCACTTTACCAAACATGATATTCTTCTCCAGGGACTGGTCCCTCCTGACAATATGTCCAAAGTATGAGAGACAAATCTGGCTATCCTGGCTTCCCAGGAGCACTCTGGCTACACTTCTTCCAACACAGATCTGTTTGTTCTTTTAGCAGCCCATGGTACTTTCAATATTCTCCTCCAACACCATAACTCAAATGCATCAATTTCATTGTTCACTTTCGCAGGCATAGGATGTATGGATTTTCATGAAGAAATATTGTAGCTATTTCTGTGTCTCAGTGGAACAGTCCTGTTTTTTAAACAGGAATCTGAACAAATGCATGAAAATATCATGTGTGATTTTCAAAATGTGTTAGGAATTTGAAAGCAGCAACTGACAAGGAAGTAAAGAACATGTTCCCGAGAGAGCTATGCACCATGTCCTGAGCTCCTGGTACTTAATGATGTTTAATGGAATTTTCATCTTTGTATTTTGAAAGGTCAAGGAATGTTACTCCCCACTCCTTTATGAGTCGCAACAGCTGTTGACTCCATTAGAAGAGCTGGAAAAGCAGATGACAAGCTTTTATGACTCAGTTGAGAAGATCAATGAAATTATTACAATTCTTGAACACGAGGCACAATCCAGCGCTCTCTTTAAACAAAAACATCAGGTAAGAAAAAGTACTTTCAACAGGAGTAGTTACATACAAGCACTTCTGTTGTTGTTGTTGTTGTTGTTATGTGCCATATAGTTGGTACCAACTCACCATGACCCTATGCAAAACAGAACCAGACAGTGCCTGGTCCTGCGCCAATCTCACAATTTTTGCTGTGTTTGAGCCCATTGCTGCTGCTGTGCCAATCCATCTCGCTGGGGGTCTTCCTCTTTTTCTCTGACCCTCCACTTTACCAAACATGATATCCTTCTCCAGGGACTGGTCCCTCCTGATAGTATGTCTGAAGTATGACCATTGTGGCTTCCAAGGAGCATTCTGGCTGTACTTCTTCCAACACAGATTGGTTTGTCCTTTTGGTAGTCCATGGTACTTTTAATATTCTCCTCCAACTCCATAACTCAAATGCATTCATTAGTCTATGTTCTTCCTTTTTTCACTGTCCAGTTTTCACATGCATATGAGGTTATTGAAAATACCATGGCTTGGGTCAGGCATACCTTAGTCCTCAAGCTGACGTCACTGCTCTTGATGTCAGTATAAACACTGATGGAAATCCGACTCAGCTGTCAGCAAAGTGTAGTTTTCAGTGTAGCGTCCAGGCAACAGTGCATCTGGAAGTGTGGTGCTGCATGGGGGCTCCCTAAAGTCACACTCTGATCATCTCAGTGCGTTCAGTCTGTGGAGTAACGTTAAAAGACTGGTTTATTCAAAGGCACATGACTCTTCCGTCTGTGAACTGAGCAACGCTGTGAGTCAGATGATGCACTTAATGTCTTCTGTGGTTCAAACCTGCCGCCACTCCTTGGAAATCCTATACAGAGTCGCTATGAGTCAGAACTGATTCGACAGCACTTAGAAACCACAACAAACATATGCATGTTGTTTTTAAGTGGTTTTCGAGGAGCAGCTGGTGGGTTTGAACCATTGACCTTGTGGTGACCTGTCCAGTGCTTATCCTACAGTGTAACATCAGGAGGCTTCAAAAAGTTCATAGAAAAGTGGAATTAAAATATAATGGAAAATTTCTATGAAGTCTCTGAAGCATATATATGGACTCCTGGTGTGGCATTGGACTGGGAATCACACTGTCAGCAGTTCAAATCCACCAACTGATCCTTGGAAACCCTATACAAGGTCTCTATGAGTTAGAATCGACTCAAGTGCACTTGACAACAACAAATGCATATATATATATATATACACACATACACACACATACACACACATACACACACATATATACACACATATACACACATATATATACATATATTATATTCAGGAGCATGGTGGCTCTATATTCTAAGTACTGCACTTGGAGCCACAAGGTCTGTGGTTAAAGGCCACCAGCCACTCTGCAGGAGAAGATCAGGATTTTGCTCTTGCAAAGATTTCAAGTCTTGGAAACCCTATACAGGGTCATTGTGAGTCGGAACCAGCTCGATGACATTTAACAACAACAACAAATATATATATTCTTTTTTCCATGTGGTATCTGTAAAGTGGTGTGATATTGTAGTATTACTCCTGGACTGTTAACCACAAGGTTAGCAGTTCAAATCCACCAGCTACTACTTGGAAACCTTATACAGGGTTGCTATGAGTCAGAACTGTGTCAGACATAACAACAATGTTTAATCTGTGTCTTATGAGCTCTTTCCTTTGCCTCTAGGAATAAGTCTATTTCAGCAACCATAAAGTTCTTGAGATATGTTTGATATAGTAACCATTTTTCTTTGTTTCATTTTTAGGAAGTAGGTCTGTCTGAGTGCTATAGTTAGTGGACTTCTTTCGTCAGTGTATTATGAATGGATCTATCCAGCAGAGGATGGTGAAATTATAAAGGGCTTACTACTGCATTCATTGACATAGATTCTTAGAGGCAGGAAGCATCATTTGGTTGAAAGAACAGAGTGTAATGGGGGCAAGTAACACTTGTGTTCAAATCTTAGTTCTGAAGTCATTGTTGTTGTTATTAAGTGCCGCTGAGCTGGTTCCGATTCACAGCAACACTGTAGAGGTGTTTCTGAGGTGCCGGTGGTGGGTCTGACATGGCAAACTACCAAGACTTGGCCATGGTAATTTCCTCACTTTAAAAGTAAGTTGATAATACCTAAATTGATAGCTTGTTATATAAGATGTTACATAATCTTATTATGATGTTCTTTTTAAGTGCAGTCAAGTTGGTTCTGACTCATAGCCACCCTGTATATAGTTTCCAAGGAGCAGCTGGTGGGTTTGAACCCCTGACTTTGTGGTTAGCAGTGCAGTGCGCTGTAGGATAACTACAGTGACACAGCAGGACTCTAGTCTCATTATTTGTTGTTGTTAAGTGCCATCGAGTTGGTTCTGACTTAGTGTGACGCATAGGGTTTTTGAGGACCTGCTGGTGGATTTGAACTGCCAACCTTGCAGTTCAAACCGACTTTGTGGTCCAGTGCTCATCCTACAGTGCCTTATCAGGTCTCCATAATCTCATTATGTTGTTGTTGTCATTGTTACATGACATTGAGCTGATTTCAACTCATAGCAACCTTGCATAGGGTTTCCAAGGAGCAGCTGGTAGGTTTGAATTCCTAACGTTGGAGTTCACAATCTAGTGCTTATCTTATAGGAGATATTGTATAAGACTAGCACATACTAGTCTATAGTATGTACTCCGTAACTGGTGGTAATTCTTCTAATTATTAACAGTGAAGCCACAATGATTAGGTATGTCACCAAGTCCTGTTCTAATGACATCTCATCACAGTGACAAAAAGAATAATCCTTCACTTTGAGACATGCCATATCTTACATTTCCCAATTAGGATATTCCATGCAGAAATAATCCATGCAGAATTAAAATGCTATTTAATGTCTTTTCATTTACATTACCTCTTTCCCCTCCTAAAACTTCAAAAAATTGTCCTTATTTTGTTGGATAAAAAGCAAACCAAAAGCCCCACTTTTTGTATTTGCATCTACGTTACTAAAAATGGTTACCAAATCAGCAGTTTGAAATCTTTTTCTAAAACAATTGAGGAGGTTGAAATTAAGTAGTGTGAATTCAAGCAAAAAAAGAAAGAAAGGAAAGCAATTGACCAGCTCCATTGGTTTGGGCTGGGTAATTTCTCAACAACAACAACATCTTGAAGCCGGCAGACCAGCACATCTTTTTCCTGAGGAATTGACGGTTGGGCTCAAACTAACATGTTTTCATTAGGAACCAATTGTTGTGATTGTTAAGTGTCATTAAATTGGTTCCAACTCATAGCGACTCTGTATAGGGTTTCCAAGGAGTGGCTGATGCGTCTCATTAATGACGGATTGCAGATCTTAGACAAACAACTGGATTTTTTGTTTTGTTTTTTTTTAGAATTTTTAATTTATTGTGAATTGAGTGAAGGTGTACAGGGCAGATTATCAGTTTTACATTCAAAAAATCATGCTTGGTTTCTTCACAATGATTACAATCTCCTCCACGTACCAAACAACAGTTTTGATACTCTGTCTTTTTCTTATTGTTAATAAGATGTGCATGTAATATAATAACTCTCAAACAGCACTCACTGTGATATTTAGTATCCCGCACAAAAAGCACTAACTTTAGTTGTTACTGTTGTTGTTAAGTGTTGTTGAATCGGTTCCGACTCAGAGGGACTCTGTATAGTGTTTCTGAGGAGCGACTGGTGGATTTGAACCTCTGACCTTGTGGTTCAAGCCAACCTTGCAGGACCAGTGCTTTATCCTACAGCGCCACACCAGGACGTTAGTAGCTGCTTCAAACTGAGACATTTTGAAGAAATGACCATCCTCTGGATTTCAGTGTCAAAGCCTGAAGGTTCCACATCATTGTTCTCGCTGTTTGTAAGGGTTCTGTTCATTGTTGCTGCTTCCTGTCCTTGTAGGAGCTGTTAGCATGTCAAGAAAGCTGTAAGGAGACCTTGACACTGATTGAGAAAGGCAGCCAGAGTGTTCAGAAGTTTGTGACTGTGAGCAACGTGTTAAAGCATTTTGATCAAACAAAGCTACAGAGACAGATGGCCGACGTGCACGTGGCTTTTCAGGTAATTTGTTCTCGCTGCTTGAGAGTGATGAGCTCTGTCCAAAGAAAACAGAAAGTGAACCCACCTCAACCTAATGCATCATGTGTGCAGTCTTCTCAAGATTCCGCACCTACTGGTGTTTGCAAACCAATCATTTTACTTCTGCTTTCGCTAATATTGATTAATCATGGGGGAAAAACTAACATTAAAACAATTCTGACTAATAATGACCTTATAGGAGAGAGTGGAGTTTCCAAGGCTGCCCATCTTTATGAAACCAGACTGTTCCCTCAGAGCGGCTGGTGGATTTGAACTGCCAAACTTTTGGTTAGCAGTTGAGTGCTTAACCACTGTGCCAACAAGGCTGCTCTTCATCTTCAAAGGGGTTAATTACTCCAAAGGGGTAATGATATCTATTCCTTGAAGTGTTTATTTAAAGATATAATACTCTGTAACACAATGATGCTTTCAATAATGAGGACATAGCATCACTTTAAGATTGTTTTGTTTTGTTTTTAATGAAGAATATGGTGAAGAAAACTGGAGATTGGAAGAAACATGTGGAAACCAACAGTCGCTTGATGAAGAAGTTTGAAGAGTCTCGAGCGGAGCTGGAGAAAGTGCTGCGGATCGCTCAGGAGGGTCTGGAGGAGAAGGGGGACCCCGAGGACCTCCTGCAGAGACACACGGTGAGTCCACCCTCCACGGACACTCGCCTGTGCGCCTGGACAGGAGGTCCTGATTGACAAACTTGTTTTTGTTTTAAAGAGCACTTTGATCTGATCTCAACAGAAAGATGTATAGGTGAAGGAGGAAGGTAGAAACTTTGTATGTTGTTGT